TCTTTTCTGCCCCGACCCAGACCCACTTCTCACATTCACCAATGGGAGCAGTGGCCCAGTACAGAAGCCACCCCCAGGTCTCACGTGTGCTAATGGGTACTATGGTCCAATGTGGCATGGCCCGGCTCACAGCAGCATCTGCCAGCAGGTGCTGTAACCTGACCTGGCACAACCTACCCTCAGTTCTAGTCCTGCTGGTGGATGTTGAAGCCTTGCCCTGCCAGCCAGCCCCCAGTCCCAGCCCTAATATGAACTGGCTGGTATTGCGGCCAGACCTGGCCTGTTTTGCACCCCTTTCTGGTTCTCAGCTTGTCAGTGGTTATTATGAATTGGCTCAGTCTAGCCCGCCAATGCATGCCAATGGACACCACACCCTGGTCTGTTCTGGGTTGCTCCTACTACTGGTTGTTATGCTCACCTGCAGGGACTGCATCCTGACAGAGGAGTTCCCCGGGTTCCTCTATCAGGTTTCTTCCCATTGGCAGATTTCATGCATACCAGTGCTTCCTTAGCCCAGGCTGAATTAGTTCACCTCCTGTCCTGGCATGAATGATGGCCTTGTTCAACAAGTCCACACCCATTCTGGTTCTTACTGTTGATTGCAACAGCCCAGCCACAACTGGTCCAAACCCAGACATAGCTCTTGTGTGGTTCAGCAGGGCCAGAGACCTAGCTCAGCCCATCCTACAGATTCCCTGACTCTCATGAGTACCAATGGGTGCAGGAGTCTAGCCCAGGCTGGAACATCCCAGACCCAGTCCACACCCATACCAAGGGACACTACAGCCATGTCCACCCCAGTTTGCAGCCCCCATTCTGGCTCTCATGGTCCCTAGTGGGAAACACAACCCAGCCAAGGCATCCCCTTAGCTCCCCAACCAGGCCTGTTTCCAACTCATATCTTGCTTATGCCAGTGATTGTTCTGACCCAGCTTGGTATATAGCCTACCCTTCTGCCTTGGTATTTGCTATAGGATGCTGAAGCCTGGCCTGGCCTGGCCTGGCCCAGCCCCAGTTCCAATTCTTGCTTGAGGGTGCTACATCCTAGCTCTGCCAATTCTGCTCCCATCCCTGGCTCATGAAAACAGATAGGTGTAATAGTCAAGCTTGACATGACCTACATTCCAGCCTGGCTCCTGCACATGCCAGTGGGTTAAGGTTGGCCTGACCCTGGCTGGTCTGCCTCCCTCCAGAAACACTCCTGTGTGTGGAGCTGCCTTGCCTGGCCTGAAAACAACCAGGCCTGAACCACATGCTCACCAGCAGGAGCTACAACCCTCCAGGGGAGTTTCCTAAGTTCCTCCACCAGGCCCACTCCCAGACCCATGTTGTACATGTGCTAGTGGGTGCTAAGTCCTTTCCCAGCATAATTTGTCCCTCTGCCACAGTCTTTGTATGAACTGGTAGATGCTGTGATGTGGCCCCTCCTCTAACCTATATTTGTGGTACACCTGCAGATACTTTAGCCTGAACCTGCCCAGCTTGTTCCCAATTTCAGCGCCCATGATTGGTGGAGGGTTCCAAGGTCATGTCTAGCTCAGTCCATCACCTCCTAGCTCTTAAGCTAACCAGCAGAAATTTCAGTTGTACAGCAGTGAACTCACATGTCCCTCATAGAATCTGCCCAGGACCTGGTTTTCTTGCATGCTGGCTAGTGTCATGGCCCAGCCTAAAGTTACTGCCCTCTGTCTAATACTCACTGGCAGATACTATGAACTAGCCATGGCAGGTAGGCCCCCAGCCCTAGCTTTAGTGTGCCCTGGTGAGTGGCAGTCAGCTGTGATCCATGGTAATTAGCCCAGCTCAGGTCTTCCATGTCAGCTGGTGCCCCAATCTGATCCGTAAAGGTTCTCTGGCCTCTCCCTTGCAAACCACTTGATCTAGTTCCCCTGCTTACCTGCAAGTAAGGTGACCTTGTTGAGAGTCCCTCAGAATTCATTCCTCACATGCAACACACTCCCTCAGGGGTCCTTCATCCCCCTTATCACCCTACCCCTTCCCAGATCATCCCATTGTCATTGTGCCCAGGAACACATGAGTTCCCCAGCCAGCCTTTCAGCTCCTGGCATATGTACTATCCTGTGACTGAATCCCTCCACACACCCAAAATACAGACCCATTCAAAGTTACCCAGTCTTTTTCACCAGCTGCCAGGCCAGCATGCTAACTGGGAACTCTCCCTTCTCCACCTAAACCCCCAATCACACCAGGGACCAATCACGTGGGAAAATTGCTAAGCCTTTCTGCATTTGTCTGGGTGTGAGCCTCCAGGTCCCCTCATGCCCCTGTGGGTGCTATCCCTTTGTCCGTCTATGAATCTGCTCCCCCAGACCTTCATAAGCAAGTTGCAGCTGACATGGGATAAGTAGCAACAGGAGCTGTCCATGGCTGCCTCCAGAGTGGGAGTAACCCACCTCTTATTTTCAAATCAAAATACTGATTCTTCCTCTGAGTGATTTGATGAAAATCATTGGGACTGATTGCAATGATTTCCCATCTGTGACAAAATCAGCTGGCACGTGAAGGATGAACTCTGAGCAGAGAACTGAGACCGAGTCCACATACAATCTCACCCGACGCCCACATTACCCTAGAATTTCTATTTATGCAGGCTAATAAATGTGTGTTTCTGTTTGTATCTGCTTGAAATGGGTTGCTAAGCTTTGGGAGCATCTAATTACTACACTGCTGAATTTACATTTTCAGGATACTGTCACAAGTTTTTCATCTTTCCAAAGTGTTTCTGCCAACATCGGCACTATGCCCCGTGTGCTCAGGCAGAAATACCTTTTTGCTTCCAGATTGTTTCTCAAATTCATGGGTGGAAACGTTTCCTCTTCTGCTAAGCATACTCAGTGTGCCAGGCCTCACTTGATGAATACCGACAGCGAAGCAGAGGTCTTAGGATTCCAGGAGGTATGCCTAACATTTTTATTCATTACCGAGATAAATGTAGGGAGAAGCAAGATAAGGCAAGTATGAGTCACTGCAAGTTGTAAACGTAAAGGTCTAGGGAGCCTTTTAGTTCTTTTGCATTGTGAAATGTGCATGGTAACCTCCTCACACTCACAGGGCTACTCACCCTCCTGCAGAGGGGCAGGGGCTCATCTATACTGTTATTCTTACTTTTATGATTACATAATAAGCAGCTCAGACAACGAGTCGCATCTTCACAGAATTGTGTAACTATTTGTTAGCTGCACTTGCTACAGAGGCAAAGCACATAACTATAGGAGGTGATGTTAATTTGCTTATTTAATAACCTCTTTATCTTTATTCCAGGACATTATGTTGTATATTTTAAAAGTACTCCATGGCTTTTTTCAGTACCCTAATGACTGTGTCAAACCAAATTGCAGTTTTCAGCTTCTCTATGTCTGAAAGAAGAGATAATTAAACACATACTAAAATAATGCAAAAGGGAAGCATGAGATACCTGTGCAATAAACCTCAGTAGATGTTAGGTTCATATACCCATTGTGGCCAAGTAAAGTAGGGAAAGCATAAGGAATGTTTGCATTTTTATCAGTATAATCATTTTAGAGATGGAAAAATCAAAGAAAGAACTTGATTTTTGTTTATTGTCAGCCAATTCTTGATAAGAGCTTTCATAAATAATAAGGGTTTTTTGGTTGTTGTTTTTAAGCAAATGAGACTTACTTCCCAAAGCTGTAAGAAATATGCTTTGGTGGCATAGATTCATGGATTCATAGATCTGCATTTACAGGAACTGTAACTGACCAAGGTCTCTACCACATGTAATGCGCCTTTGCGAGGTGTGCCATTTGCTCTTGTAACCCCCGTGACTGAGCGTGAGAGGGAACCTAAGCCAGTGTCCTGGGGCCAAGAGGATTCCCTTAGGGATATTTGGCAGAGAAGCCCCACTCTGACTCTGCTGCTGCTTTTCCGGTGACTAGAAGCTGAAAACAACTGCATCCTTGAAAACTTATATTGTTATAGTTATGAAGAGTTTAAGGAAAGTTCTTTAAAATTCTTTGAAGTTAATCATACTGAAATTCAGACTTCTGTTTTTGTTGGTTAGCTGTATAGGTTTTGGCGTGGTGTAGTGGTAACAAGGAAAACAGAAAACAGTTCCTTTAATTTCCTGCCTGGGTTACTGCTCCGGGCAAGTTTTTCACATACTAACCTTTACCCACAGGCATATTAATTGGGAAATGTCAATTCTCATTTTGGGAAGGTGGGGTGGAAGTGGAAAGGAAGAAGAGGAAAAGAAAAGGCAGATGGATAAGCCAGTTGACTCCTCCAATGTCCCCTTGCCACTTCCCCCCAGTAACTGGGGCTGGGTCAAACTAAAACTAGAAGCCAGGAGCTCAGTCTAGGATGTTCACATGGGTAGCAAGGACCCAAACACTTGAGATATCATTAGCTTGCACACAATGTGTACAAACAGGTAGCTGGAATTGAGTTCAGGAACAAAGCTGAAACTCAGACCCTTCAATATTCCCAAACTGTGGGCAACACAAATAGCATTGTAATTGCCCACCTGGGTCACAGTTTCAGAACTAAAATTATAATATTCACATTTACTTGTAAATAATACATAATGTAATTATTTTAATTAATTTTATTTTAATTATTTTTAATTTTACATTTAATGTTATATATTTTATTTCTTTTGTATTTACGAATTAAGTGCCTGGTTTCTATTGTGAGTTTTGACCTATTCCATTAGGAGGCAGATGTAAGACATAGACAAAACAAACAAATGTGGTATGTTCAGCAGCATTGTGATTAAATAGCTGATAAAGGGAGTGAAACTCATACAATTGGCTGTGTGCAAAGCGTAGAACTGGGAATTCAGTTTGAAGCCAAAGGCCTGTGGATCAGGGAGGACGGTGATATAAACCTAGTTCCAGTTTAAAGACCTGAAAGCTGATAAGGGTAAGGCTGCTTAAGCCTTAACAAGTTGAGCTTTGTGGGAAATGATGGATGTCTTAGCTTAATGAAAAGATTCCTCCTTTCCTTTGTCTTGTTTTCTCTTTAGCCTTTCAATAGATTGGGAGCTGTTCCCTTGCATTGATGAAGGTGAGTTTTTTTCTTTATTCAGTTTACTGAGTAATGTATACCTTTATAGAAATCATAATAGCACACCCTGGAATAATGATTAAAGCTATCTGTTCATCCCTTGACCCAGCTAAGCTGACACATAGAATTCATCAACACATAGTGCAGGAGAGAAAACTTGTCATTCTACTTTTCTACAAATCACAGACTTTTCTCATCAAGCCATTTCAGAGGTCCTTGACTTCCATCATCTTTCCAAACAAAGATGACATTCAAATCATGAAACCTGTAGACATCCTTGGAAGTTACTGCCTGCTGCACAGACAACCGTCACCACCCTGAGACTTTGAAGGTGCAATTACCTGCAGGCAAGCTGGAGCTGCACTCTAGGCACAGTTGTGCACAGCGTACTCATTTCCATTTGCATTCCTTTCCACCTCCCCTACTTTCACTCAATATGATTGAAATAAATGTTTCTTGAGTTTGTATAACCAACATTATTTAAAGATCGAATTTAATTTAAACCCTTGCCATCACAATAAATAATCCCAAATCCTAAATTATCATAGGCAATTTTCATGTCAACTTTAAAGTCATTAGTTTTATATTTAGATTCATTTAAAAAAATTCTTCTGATAATTCTCACTCTATACCCGGATGGAAATGGAAAGCTGTGAGTGTATAATTTCTAATTTTTCTGCATATTTAAATTGTTCTTTTTCTTTACTGAGTAAATGTCAACTGGGATGAGAACAGAAATTTGAGATCAAACTTTCTCTGTCAGTCATCCTAGTGTAATTCCATGTCCTTCTGGTGTTTAATATTGCACATGGGAAGGTCTGGTGCCTGCTTCATTTTTGTCCTTTGAGTATTTTTCTTATATATTCCTAAGTAATATGGTTCAATGAAGGACTTTGGTGAGTCATGCATATTTTCAAAATGTCTTGTGCTTTCTAGAGAAGACATCATGGGATCATGGGTTATATGGCCCCAGAGCTTGGATAGTGCCAAACAGCTTTCCAGTGTGGTTGGGCCAAGTTGTTTTCCCACCAGCAATGTATGCAGATTCAATTTCATCTATAGCCGTGATTTCAAATATGTAACTCTTTAGTCTTTGCAGTTAATTTTGGACATAAGATCTTTTAAAAAAGTCAAATTCTTAAGCTAATACTGTTCTTAGAATTCCTTTTCACAAGTTGCTGAGCCCATTTTCTCAAATATCTACCACTGGATATGTGTAGATGGTGGCTAATCGCAAGCATTTGTTAGTGTTCAGATTTATTGGTGCCTGTTTTATATCCACTTTTCCTTTAATAGCTTATAAACCATACCAAATTATAAAGATGAATAAGAATGATACATAGATTAGAAAATATTACACATGGAATTATTTCATTCTCATGTGATTATCAACAAGACAATATGTTTCAGAGTTCTTCTTCCCAACAGGAAACTCTTGCTAATGCTCTTCTGCCAGCCCAAGTTTATTTCCAGGATACAGAATCACTATTTTTGTGTACACTGTTGCTATGCTTTTAAGAGATACGTTTCAGAGTCTGAATTGTCAGTTATATTGAAAACACATCTCGTAGGAAATAAGATGAAATACATCCATTACACAGTCACCACACATTCCTGTGTAATGTAAGCTATCATGTCCAGATGTGAGAATGCAGTGCAGTGTGCATCTCTATTTCCAGATCAAAGATGAACTTACAATGAAACTGTTTACTATATCTTGACAATAGGATGCTGAACTCTCTGCCATTGTCCATGTACACAATGATGAACATGTGACTATTTATGAAGAGTTATGCTGTAATAATGATATAGGGGAATTTGATAAGATATGGGGAAGGTGGCAGGGGAATCCCAGGGCCTATGGAACTGTATCATAGAATGATAGTAATAATTTTAAAAGAAGTAAAAGATAAAATTAAAAAACAAAATAATCCAATCCTGGCTTTATTTATTTGTTTATTTGAAAGCTGAATGATACAGAGAGATCTTCCATTCTCTGATTCAATCTTAAAATAGGGTCAATACCCTGTCCGGGGCCAAGCTAAAGCCAGGAGCATGTACTCCAGCAGAGTCTCCAACATGACTGACAAAAACCCAAGTATTCAGGCTGTCTTCTATGCCATCTCAGGCATGCTAGCACAGAGCCACAGCAGAACAAAACAACTGGGATTCAGAATGGCACTGGATACAGATTACTGGTGTCCCAAGTAGAGGCTCAAACCTCTGCCACAATATTGATCACTAGTATATTTGATATTTAAATAATCTCTTTCTCTCTGCTGAAATGAGATTATTGCCTAATCGGGGCTAGTGATATTTTTCTGTTTTAAAAATTAATGTTTATGAGGGCTGGTATGGTGGGTTAGCAAGCTAAGTCTTCACCTACAGTGCTGACATGTCCTGTGGGCACTGGTTTGATACTTAGCTGCTGCCTTTCCAATTCAGCTCCCTCATAATGATTAGGGAAAGCATCTGAGGCTGGCTCAAGTCTGTGAGAACCAGCATTCACTTGGGAGACCCAAAAAAAGTTCCTGGCTCCTGGCTTCTGATTTAGGGGTGGCCCAGCTCTGGACAATGCCACCACTCTGGGAGTGAATCAGCAGATAGAAAATCTCCTTTCCCTTTCTTTCTCTGTAACTCTGCCTTTTCAATAAAAATAAAAACTAAAAAATTAATGTATGTTGCTTAAAAAATAATATGGAACTAACTTCTAATCCTTTGTAAACAGTAAGAAATAAGGATTAAAAATGCCATTAAAATAAGTCAGCCCTTCTAACATTGCATGGTTGCCTTTGTTTTTGTCTTAGACAATTTTCATGAAAGTTTTCACTAGTCATTTTCTATATTAAAAATAAATTTCTTTTAAATTATAGTACTTGGTAATGTGATTTTTTTTTTAATCAAATGAGAACATGACTTAACCTATTTGGACCTGATGAAACTTAATATGACCAGAGTGTTTCTGTGTTCCACAGAGCATTAAGTAAGGGCTTCGCTAACCTCCATCACACATTTATCAAGGAAGTCGTGGAAACAACTCTTTGGCAAAAGCAGCTCATCGTCACAAAATGCAGTTTGGAGAGACGACATCTTCCCAGTTCCTAAGCCCTAATAGCCCCTCTTTCCAAGCAGTACAACAAACAGTACAGGGTGAGTACATGATGTCAGCATTACTCAGGAAATTCCAGGAAATTTGCAATGAGGTCCTAGGTTTTTTGACTTATAAATTTTTACATGTTCTCATGTTTTCTGTATTCGTGTTCCTGAATGTTTGTAATTGTTTCAATACTTACTGCGATTGCATTCTCTGTATCCCTGTGTACTTTCAAAAATCTGATTTGAGTAGCAGTCTTTCTCTTTCAAAGCTGAATGGTTTTGAAAAAGTCCTTCGGACTGGAGTAAATGATCATTCTCGTAGTACCAGGAGCTCATCTGCTTCTTGCAGTTTATTGCAAGGAGCTATGTCTTTTCTTACCTCCCAACATTTGCTATATTTATCAACAGTTACTGAAGTATTTGTGTGAATATCTGTCTCACAAAATCTAACGCTTTTATTCCTCTCATCTGAGTATTTACAGCATCTGGCATTGTGGTTGGTGCACAATATGTTCTCAAAAATATCTTGACAATGGCAAAGAGTCCAGCATTTCATTGTCAAGATATAGTTAACTGTTTTATTGGTAGTCTATCTTTGATCTGGAAGTAGAGATGTCCACTGCATTTTATCCTCACACCTGGACACCACAGTCTCCCTTACACAGTTACTATACATCCCCTTAAATGAAAAGCCACAATACTAAATCAACAACAGGAAGAAAAATAGAAATTTACAACACCATCAAGTTCAACAGTCCTGAATTTCTATTGGCCCCACCACTCAAATCACGTTGAAACCTCTCCAGAATCTACTGGCTGACAGTCCATCTTAGACTCTCCATCCACCCTGATATTCACTACCAATGCTTGACTGGAGTAGTTGATCAAATTGTTCTGTCCTCCATCTTGTGCCATGGTTGCTGGTGTCCTCTGGAGGATCCAATGTACTGCCATATCCTCCATGTGCATTTGGATATGTTGTCCACTCCTCCATTTGAGCCACGAGGAGGCCCGGCTCTGACACATGCACTCCCACAGTCAGCTCACGGAACCTGCAATTCTTTCCATAGTTGGGGTTCTGAGTCCAAGGTTTCAGTTGGTAGGGAATCGCCAAAGAAACTTCATCCTCAGGCCATCCTAGACCTGGTTCTGTGTGTTTTTGTCAATACAGGGTCCGGCAAAGTCTGTCACACAAATCAGCCTACTCACACACTGGTAATTGCAATTGTTGGGCCAGTTCTATTTCCAGCCCTGATTTTCACACAAATCAATGGGTTTTGGAGTCCAGCCCGATCCTGCCCATCACATACTAGGCCTCCACGCAAACCAGTGGGAGCTGTAGCCTAGTCGGTATGACTCGCAATAACTCTACTAGGGCTGCCACCTACCCTTTTCCTGTGCTTGCGAGTATAAACAGCTGACTGGTCCTGTCTGTCCTATATCCCATTTAGTTTTTGTACATGTCAATGAGCATTGAAGCTCAATTCATCTCTATCAGCCCTACTATCCAGTCTACATTGGTACCTGAGGGTGCCACCATCTGTCTAGCCATGCCTGCACCTGACAGAATTTGCCACCATGCCAGCATCTGCCAGCTGATGCTGCAGCAAAGCCCAACCCACCCACACTCACTCTGGCTTATGCTAGAACAGCAGGTGCAGTCATCACAGCTTAGATTTTCCCTGATCCAGCTCACAGGTAGGCATCAGATGTTGACATATGACTGTTGACATATGACTGTTTATTAAGAGCTATGCCATAGTAATAATATAGGGGAACTCAGTGTGTTAGGGGGAAGGGATTTGGAGTGGAGGTAGGGGAAATCCCATGGCCTATGGAACTGTATCATAAAATGATAATAAGGATTAAAAAAAAAAAAAACCTCTTGGTGACACATAAACTCATTTCTGATCAAGTAAGGAATAAATCTCTCTAAAATTCTTGGATACATTTTGATTGGAAGGAAGAGAAAATCCCTAAAGTTCCATGTAAAAACTTTAACATTGATCTCCAGGTTCTTTGTGCTGATGTGGAGATTTGTTTAGTTTTCTTTTATTGTCCTTGGTGTTGCTTTGTTGGGCAAATATTTTCTTATCCTCTGAGAAAAAAGTACATATCATATATATGTACTGTTTCAGACACATCTATGCAAAAGCTCATAGAAAAGGAGCTCTCAGGGCCTCTGAGCATTCATTGCATACATGGGGACTCCAACATTATGACCGAATCACTGTCCGAAGGCCCTGGGCTCAGACCCTTGGCACTGGGGATTGCCTCACATATGAATTTGAGCAGTGAGGCACAAGGTTTAAATAATTCTATACAGATATTTAAGCAGAAGAATTTTTTTGTTTTTTAGTTATCACTGCATGAACGAAAGAATATAAAGGCCCTTACGTAGTCACTTCCAGCTGCCACAATTGGTAATACATGACTAACTTGACTCATCTTCCCTGTTCTCAATCTACTCCCATACTTTTCTGTATTATTTAAAATAAATCTTAGAAATTGTGTCAGTTATTCTGTTAATATTGGTATGATTCTGTAAGATTTAAAGCTTCAATGCTTTTTTGTTGTTAAAGCCATGAAAAGTTCTACTACTTTAAGCATTAAGTGGTAAATCCCTTGCATTTATTCTTTTTCAGCTAGGATGCTTAGATACTTACACATATGTGTTTTTTTAAAACCCTCAGATTTGTTTGGTTTTAGCAAGATGGCAATGTCTTCTAGCAAAAGGCAATTAAAATGAGAAGATAATAAATCTTTTAAAAATGTTTTTTAGTTACTTCTCCAAGTTCCCAGTCTCTATGTCAATGTTTGGCCAAGGTCAGAAGAGAGTAACTCCTCAGCATGGCTGTGCATTCCATTGATATGTGATAAATCCCTATAAGTTATATTGAACTTTAAACTGTGGCGCAACCCTGATACCAATATCATAATATGGGCTCATGTTTTATTGGGCATAGTACTCAAATGTTACCTTGGAAAGGCTTGCTCCAGCTGTTTCAAATTAGGTTGATTTCATATGTCACATTAATAGTAGGAAGGAGTCCAGTGGTAGCTATTTGCTTGAAAATTAATCTGTCAAATTGGTGAAAATATAAAGCTTGCACAGATGAGCAAAGGTTATTCAACTTAACATCCTAACGTATTAATACACTTAGTGAAGTCATTGTAAGGCTAATTAATCAACAAGAAATTCCATTAATGTTAGGGGAAATATGGTACATGAACAGTGTATTAATAGTTCTCAATGTGATGTGGTCATGAAATGTTTGACAAAATAGACTTAGATTTTAGGTACTGATGGTTGAATTCTAATGACGTTGCTTGGAACTATGAGTAGATATGCACAGCTAGTTCCAGCTTTCTATGTAATCTATCATGATGCAATGTTGACTTTCAAGCCAGCAGTTGTGGGACCGGGATAGTAGATATTTCCTGTGAGCCAAATATAAACTTGGTGTTTCACTGCTCATAGGCATGCTTTGTCCTATTAACCCAAAACACTTTTATTAGTAAAAGCTTGGTGAAAATTTTTTCTTCAGTGCAAGCAGGACAGATTTTAATCACAAGTGAGAGCTGTTATGGCATCACAGGTAAAGACCATAACCGTACAATTATTGTAGTGTGTATAACGTTAGACACATTTCAGTGTTGGGACTTGTGAAGTTAAAGAGCCTCTGCTCTACTGACTCATTAACTTCTATTTTTAGGCACTTACTTCTCAGCCAGTAATTTATTTAATATCTTCCCTAATTCATTTCACTCTTTGGAAACCCTCATACTCTGGTAGAAACTTAAAAAAAAATCACCACACATTGTTTTAATTTTTCTGGCATTTTCCTTTTTCACAATTTTAGTAACTGGTGATTAGTCCCAAAGTCAGATTAAAAATTTTTTAAAGATGTATACATTTTTATTGCAAAGTCAGACACACAGAAAGGAGGAGAGACTAACAAGAAGATCCTCTTTCTGATGATTCATTCCTCAAGCAGCCGTAAGAGCCGGAGCTGCACTGATCCAAAGCCAGGAGCCTGGAGCCTCTTCCAAGTTTCCCACATGATGCAGGGTCCCAAATGTTTGGGCCATCCTCAACTGCCTTCCCAGGCCATAAGCAGGGAGCTTGATGGGAAGTGGGGCTACTGGGATTAGAACCGCCGCCCATTTGGGATCCTGGCATATTCAAGGCTAGGACCTTAGCCGCAAGGCTATCACGCTGGGCCCCAGATGGAAATTTAAAGCATTAGAGTTCAGTACAGGTTAACTTAATTTATTTTGGGGGACATTTGAATGGAAATCAAGTTCAGATAATGCCCAAAGTCCTATCTTTCAATCTATCTGTGACAGGAGACATTCCCTGTACCCTGTATTTTGGATTCCTAGTCTTGTAAGAGAAAAAAAATAAAGTGAAAAGTTCTGTTGACAGAAGAGGAGTAACAAATATCGGTAAGCAAGATGTTATTCTTTCTCATTGCTAGGTATCCAGAACAGATTATGAACAGAAAACCAGCAGGGTGTTTGTTAGCACACAACAAGAATTTGGAAAAAGACAATACTACTACTCACCTTGACACGACAACTTCACTTCTGAATATTGAACAAAACCATGGGGAAAAAGGTGAAGTTTGAGTAATTCACTCCGGCATTTTTATGACAGCAAGAAATAAAAACTGCCTAAATGCTACCTTGCAAATGAGCTATTAAATAAATTTTAGGGTACATATTCAATTTGCTATACAGCTATATATTAATTGATCACTTAAAATGAAATAAAAATAGCATAATTTTATGGAAAAATTTCATGTAGTTACTATTCTATTAAACACACCAAAATTCATGGAAGGCAAAATAAAAGTTTGCTAATTTTTTTTATTGTGTTTGTTGGTAGTACTGTAGGCAGTTTATTTCTTCCAGTTGCAATGTTTCCTTGCTTTTTGATTGAACATAAACCGTTGCTTGAATTTTATCAGAAAAGGTCTAAACATTTAAGGTAAATTGCTGGCATCCTATAAGTTTAATTCAGTTGACTGTGATCTGGAAGAAGCATTGTGCAACGAAAACGAAGTATTTAAATATTTTGCTATATCTGATACAGCTATTAATTAAAATGTTAATGGGAGACTATAGATGATGCACAGTACACTTATCTCTTCTATAATTACTTCAATTTCTTAAAACCTTGTTTTTTATTATATAATATTGGTGCAAGACAAAAATAATGCACTCTGAGGTTCACCGGGAGACTTGCATTCAGAGCCTCATTTCTTGATAGGATGTGGCAGTCATTATATTATTATTATGATTTCTTTATTTATAAACTCTAATTTTTTCTGCTATGTGCCTGGCAAATACAAAATAGATATTTATTAAGCTATTCAAACTGAGCTATAACCTATGATTATTTTCCTCGTGCTTTGATCACGTGGTCTGTGAAGTTTAATTCTCTGGGTTAGTGATAACAGTTACATTTGCTGCTATATGTTATCTTCTCTAGTATTTGCCTTTAAAATATCATTCACATGTCACTATAATATTTGAAAAATTATAGAGAAGAGGATGTCATCTTTCACAAATGTCATTACTGGAAACATTATGTGTTCTCATGTATGAAGTGTATTATGTGTTAAACACATAAAAGTGAACATTAGTAAAGGAGTGGGAACCAGCTCTCCTGCAGTGAAGGCACAGCACACAGGCTTGGATAAACATGATTCCATTTCGCATGGGTATTTAAGTTGGGACAATGCATGTTTTGGCGATGATGACATGAATGTATATCAATCTGAATTTAGAAATACTTGGCATGAGGAATTCTTCCTGGAAATACGCATGTGTACTAAGTTGATGACTTCAAACAAAATTTTCTCTTTATGAATACATAAAGAAGCTAAATGTACTACATTATGTGGCTAATATCCTGCTAGAAGAAAAAAAAATGTGTTGTTCTAGTTGTGTTTTATTTATCACAGTTTTCTTGTTTCTATGCACACACATTAAAGAAATGAATTAAGATGGCCTTCATGAGGAAGACAGAATTTTAATGTAAAGGAACGAAGAGAATTATTTCAAATCAACACTTTTCTTTAATCAATGTTTGCACAAAATTTTCTATCTTTTGAAGTTATAAACATTGTGGAAATTTACTTTGAACACTGTATCTATAGGGGGACTGAACTGATGATACAGGTGGATACTTAGCTTTCCTAAATCCAATTTAGAGATTTCAAAATTTCTCTTGTACTTGTTCACAGTTTACCTATAATTACCACTAAAAAATTCCCTCTATGTATGAAATATTTCATATTTACGATGAATGAAATATTCTTATTACAATATGTAATTTTGGAACTTAGATATTTTAAATGATCTTAGATTTAAATATGGCCATAACAGAAAACTGTGACCTCTATAAAGCAAAAACATATTTCTCTCATTCAAGAATTGTAGAGGTCAAACTAAGCCTTTTTGATGTTTCAAACTCTACCCAGTTTCCTCCATCTTGTTATTCTGTTATATGTCTGTCTTTCACTGAAAAGGTTAACTCTTGATTCAAGATGACTGCTGGAATTTCAGTCACTGTATCGGCTGTCCTTCCTTCCTTCAGAAATAAGGAATGATGGATCACCTTGTATTAGATACAATTCCTGAAACTTCCATGAAAGACTTCCAATTATATCTATTAACTAAAACTTAATTACATCATCACAAAATACCATGAAAATGGATCTTTATTGAATTTGGATATGTACCAAGGTAGAAGGCATAGGTCGATTACTGTGTTCCACAGGATACAGACCCTCTGACAACATCCAGGCCTTGATCACAAGAACCCATAAATGTCCTAACTCTCCCAGCAGAAAGACTTTACCATGTGATCATGCTGAGAGTCCCAATTCCACCCCCCCCACACACCTAGTTCCTCTATATCATTACTAAAATATAGTTCTTCATACACAGTCATATGTCCATCATTGCGGGCATGGAAAATGGCAGAGAGTTCAGCATCCTATTGTCAAGATATAGTAAACAGTTTCATTGTAAGTCCATCTTTGTCTGGGAGTAGAGATGCACACTACATTGTATCCTCACATCTGGATTATGTTAGTCTCTATTTCACAGCTACTGTAAACCCCCTCAAATGAAAAGTCACAGTACAAAATCAACATCAGGAAGAAAAACAGAAATTTATAATGTCATGAAGTTAAATAACATGTTATTAGATATGACAGTCTCCATTACACAGCTACTATACATCCCCTTAAATGAAAAGACACAAAACAAAATCAACATCAGGAAGAAAAAAGAAATTAACAATACCATGAAGTTAAATAACATGCTACTGAATGATTAATGTTGCTGAAGAAATGAAAAAGAAAATCAAGAACCTTCTTGAAGAAAATGATGCCACTGTATGGTCTACGAGTCATTGAAGAATTTAATCAGAAGAAACTGCTTTGAAGAGATGAAACTAACAAAAACAAAAAAATCAAAATCCATGAGATAATTTCCGCTGATTTTTGTTGGTGAAATGTGTCTCCTGTATGCAACAAATAGATGGGTTTTGTTTTTTTAATCCAGTCTACTAATCTATGACGTTTGATTGAGGTTAAGCCATTTATATTCAGGGTTAATATGAATGGATGGCAATTTGGTCTTATCATTTTAGGAATTGGTTGTTTATTGATTTGGTCTTCTGTTGTCATTTTGCTGGGATGTTCTTCACATTTGCCTTTGGTTTAGTCGGATGCAATTCCTCTTCTCTGTCAAGCAAACATCTTCAAGTATCATTTGTAGACCAGGTTTGGTAGAGGCAAATTCTTTTAAATTTTTTTACTTATGAAGAATTTGATTTCATTTAAAAAGACAAAAGAAAGCCTTGCTGGATATGTTATCCTGGGCCAACATTTTTTATTTTTTTTTTAGAATCAGGAATAGGTCACTCCATTCTCTTTTTGACTGTAAATTTCCTGTTAGAGGTCTCTTGTAAGTTTAATTGGCATTTCTTCATGTCAGTTGATTTTTTTCACGTGCACATTTAGGGATCTTTTCCTTATGTTTGATTGTAGAGAGCTTGATGATCATGTGTCTTGGTGAAGATTGCTTTTGATCAAGTCTGTTGGGATTTCTGTGCCCCTCCTGGATTTTGTTTCCCAATTCTTTCTCTAGATTATGGAAATTTCCCCTCATTATTCATTAAGTATATCTGTAAAACGAGTTTCTCTTTCTACACCTTCTGCGACTCCCATAACTCTTATATTAGGCCTCTTAATAGAGTCTTTCAATTCTTGAATTGGGAAAACAGTGGTTTAACTCACTGTGGCATAACATTAGCCCCACTTTTCAACTTCTGAGTTCCTTCAGTTTATGCTCAGCTACCACATTAGTGTTAAGATTTGTATTGTAAGAAAGCAAAGTAGTATTAAAGAAAAGAGAAGGAAGTCAGTATTGCACTCAACAGCAGTCCGCCATGCATTTTTAATGGCATGTTTATGCTTTTGATCCCTGACTCTAGCTATAATGGCTTTTGCTTTCTCAAATTTGGATTCAGCAGTCCTGCATAATTACTAAGGGAGCAAATATTCTAAATTGGTTATGTGAGTAACAGGAGCTCAGCTTAAGCACATGGTCATTAATTAAGTACAACTATTGCATAGTTGTGAGTCCCATGGATGAACACCACCGTCTAAGGCTTTGTTCAGTATTCATAATCACATTTGTCACACCTAGTTCACAGGCCTGGAATTCAGGCAAATGAGAGAAGACAAGAAAAGAGAATGGAACTTTTGAGTCTGTGAGGAGGAAGACAGGGAAGAGCTGGAACTAGAGAGGAATCATCAGAGACATGCAACACTGCAGGGTTTCAGGAATGAGGAAGGGGCCACCAACCAGAGGGTGAATGTCCTCTAAAAGCAAAGAAATACCTTCTTTTCTAAAAGCTGCCAAAGGCACTGTACCTTGCCAACATCTGAGTTTGAACTCACACAGGCTGTCCATTATCATTAGCTCTAAGATGGTATTTACTTAGCATAAACCATCCAGGCTGTGTGAATTTGTTTCAGCTGTGTGAAAACTAACACATCTCCCTTGTGTTTAAAATGAAATTGAACAGGTTAAAGCCCTAAAGAAGAAAAGGTATTTCTGTTGATGAGAACAGAGTGAATACAGGCCACATTGTTTGCACTGCAACTTTTGCCTCACATTCGTTGGCATTAAATTAGAAATAGAAATATGTTGATTGCACACTTTTCATTTTCTCATGAGTGCATACAAACAGATCTGAGCATGTGGCTTTTTTTCTGGCCTTACATTCTAGAGCGGGAATTTATTGAACTGACCTGACTTTGGAGACACTGAGAAACACAAGGACATTCTTTGAATCATGTTTTAGCAAAAGACACAAAGGATCCTGCTATGAGCTCCTGGGGAGCAGAGTCTGCTGTGATTCTGACTCAGAGAAGGCTCCATGATCACATTCTCAGGGATTTTGCTTTTTCAAAGTCTTGCCCCCTGTTGAGGCACCTCCTGAAGAGAGTAGCTCAAAGAAAAGTTAACTCAGCTGATGAAAAATCCACTTTTTTTTTTCCTTGGCT